TTATATTGATTTATTTTATTTTATTTTATATATTTTATTATTTTATTTTAATATAATAAATTATTTAAGCAAAAAACAGCAGCAACAGAAGAAGGGTTTGGGTGCTGCAGCCGACGAGACCAATGGGCACGCAAACCCTAAACCCTAAACCCTAAACCCTAAACCCTCAAAAAAACCCTAAACCCTAAACCCTAAACCCTAAACCCTTTATAAAGTATTTTTCTATCATCTTACTGAGCTAGGCCCCAAAGTATCGACTCTATATTTCTCCTTGTCTCCGGCTAAGTGTCTAGGGTTTAGGGTTTAGGGTTTAGGGTTTAGGGTTTAGGGTTTAGGGTTTAGGGTTTTTGCGGTGTATGTACACCCTGGCATTCGCTGTTTCAGGTAAACAAAAGGAATACAAATACAACTAAACAAACATAATAAGGAAATTTTTATTTTATTTTATTTTATTTTATTTTATTTTATTTTATTTTATTTTATTTTATTTTATTTTTTTTGTTTATAACAAAATAAACTTCTTTGTTTTCTCTTTATCTCTGCTGCTGTGTTTTGCTGCTGTTCTCGTTTTGTCTTCACCTTAAAAAACCCCAAATTGCGATGCAGCAGCTAGCTGTGACGAACACACCAGCTAGCTGTAGCTAGCTGTGGCTAGCTGTAGCTAGCTGTAGCCACCAGTACCTAGCTGCAGCTAGCTGTAGCTAGCTAGCTGTAGCTAGCTAGCTGTAGCTAGCTAGCTGTAGCTAGCTGTAGCTGGCTAGCTGTAGCTAGCTGTAGCTAGCTGTGGCTAGCTGTAGCTAGCTGTAGCTAGCTGTAGCTAGCGGGATGTACGTAGCTGCGTACGTAGCTGCGGCTAGCTGGTGTTGACGAGGCTAAACCCTAAACCCTAAACCCTAAACCCTAAACCCTAATGTTCAGACATTGAAGCTGTCGGGTGTATTGGGAGGTTCTTCGGCGGGAGGAGCGGCCTGCGCCACACAGATAACAAAAGCAAACCCTAAACCCTAAACCCTAAACCCTAAACCCTAAACCCTAGTACACAGCCCCGAGCTTGTCTCTGCATGCATCAGCAAACCGCAGCTGCAACTGGCATCTGTTGTTGGTGTTTAGGAAACAGCAGCTTGAGGGTTTAGGGTTTAGGGTTTAGGGTTTGTTGTGTATATATATAATTGAGGGTTTAGGGTTTAGGGTTTGTTGTGTATATAGCGTTGTGTATATAGGGTTTAGGGTTCGTTGTGTATATGGGGTTTAGGGTTTAGGGTTTAGGGTTTAGGGCTTACGGTTTGTTGTGTATATAGGGTTTAGGGTTTGTGTTGCATATAGGGTTCAGGGTTTAGGGTTTGTGGTCTATCTAGGGTTTAGGGTTTAGGGTTTAGGGTTTAGGGTTTACGTTTTGTTCTGCATTATTTATTTGGTTGTTTTCTGCGTCTGGCTGTTGGCTTCTTTGTGTTGCTCTCGATATTCTTCTTCCTAGGGGGCCCCCATTTATAAAGTTTTTTAGGGGTTTGTTGCTGCTGCTGCTGCTGCTGCTGGGGCCCCCCTGCTGCTGCTGCTGCTGCTGCTGCTGCTGCTGCGGTATTATATAATAACCACCAAATGATTCCTTAGGAACAAACTTCAGGCTTGATGTGTTTGTTAGCACCCCTGTACACATACAAATATATATATATATATATATATATACATATATATATGTATATATATATATATATATATACATATATATATATATGTGGATAAATAAATATAAATAAATATATATATA